TTAAGGCAAAGTTGCTGGGCCTGGGACCTCAGAACCAGTCTCAGTGGTCACTAAGGTCAATAGGCATAACACAGTCCACAAAGACAATGTTCTACAGCTTACTTGGGTGAGTAGCGAATGGGATATTAAAAATTCATGTTGTTAAAGTGTCATCACGTTAGTTCCAAATCACAAAAACCCTGTACAGCATTTCCAAGGAGCTGTTGATGGGGTTGTGGCCTTGTGGTTTACAGCGCCACACCAGGAATCCAGATAGGTGTATGGGGAAGGAGGAAATATGCTCACCATGGAATGGTCAACCATTCAAGATTAAAAGGGACAACATTTACCTAAGGACAAAGTTGAGAAGGAATAGGAAAGAGGGTGGAATGGAAACAAGTACCACAGGGAGGAAGTGGGGTAACTGTTATTACATGGAGGGGATTGCAAACATTGAGATGAAACAAAGTATATATGATTTGCTGAAGGCAAAACTGATGATCTTCTCTGTAAATCTTCACTTAATTCACAAAGTTTGAAAAAAAAAAAAAATAACAAAAAACAAACCCATAGTGCTATTGTCAAGTGCCATTGAACTAACCTTTGCGGTCCAGTGCTGTATGCCACAGGGCCACACCAGAACTACTCCATAAGGCTATTTTTAAGTGCTGTCGAGTCAATTCCAACCCATAGTGATCTCGTATAGGGTTGCCAAGGAGCAGCTTGTAGAGTAAGCCTAACATAGAATCATGGAGACTTTAGTTATAATAATGTGTACCAATATTCGTTCATCCATTGTTAACAGACGTACCACAGGAATGTAAGATAGTAAAATTGGAGAAACTGTGCCCAGGGAGGAGACAGGATATATGGAACACTCTCTACTTTTTCCTCAGTCTATTAAGAAAAAAAACCAAGAAGGGTCCTAAGAGATCATCTCATCCCAACCCCTTATACTCGTACATATGAGAGAGCTGATGCACAAAAATGTGCCCCAACTGACAAGCCTACTTAGTAGTAGTGTCCAGACACGGCCTTTCAAACCAGTCAACTGGACCAATGCTTTTAATTGCAGTGGTGGATGAGGATAAAGTTTCAAGAATTTCCACTTTATAGTTTTGGAGTTTCAAATCAGAAGATATTGCTAAAAATCTGTTTCCACCATCCTCGTCTTCATGGAAGAGCAAAGGTTATCAAGTGCAGATTTCTTCAACTTTCCACTCGTTTTCTCTTAACAGATTTCTCTCTTTCTGCTTCATTTCCTAACATAAGCGTTTAGGTTTTGTGGTTAACTACTAATGGCCCCCCAAGTCTCTCTTCATCCTTTCAAAGTTGATCTTCTGGCTGCATTTCTTAATATCCTATTATTTAACTGCCCTTAAGTTTTTAATGTTCTCTTTTGTTCTCTCTTCTCAGTCTACAAAGATACTCTCTCTAAATCCCAACTAAGTGTATAATCCCCCATCCTGCCCCCTCTTGTGGAATGTTCTTCACAGAATTTAATGAGAGAGTGAACTATCATTCTTTCTATGCATTCACTGACCCAGTGCAAACTTACTTGGAACTTGTCTTCTATTCCTATAGAAAATGCTCTTGGAAAGATCAACAGTGATGCAACTTCAAAAGCCTCTCTTTAATCCTATCTAGTCACAACAGTTGAAAGGATTGGCCACCTACTGTTACTTTCTCCTAATAGACTCTATTACTCACCTTCATGATCTTCTCTTCTGTCAGTCTTCAATGACTAGGATCCTGTGCCATTTTGTTACTGCTTTCCTTAAGGTCAGATCTTTAACTATCATAATAATATAATGCATATATACCTGAGAAAGTGTGCTCTATTTCGACTCCAAAACTTTTTTCTGAGTTCTCATTCCATGAAATACCATCTACTGGTGGTTTCTTTCCATCAGATGCCCCGTAGATAGCTCTGTATTCAAAACTGAAATAGCCTTTCCCTTCCACTGGTACTCACTCTTTCTTCTGTACTCACATTTTCAATGAGTGAGATTAATAAATAAACCTCACACCCACTGCTATCAATTCCGACTCAGAGTGAACCTATAGGACAGTGTAGAACTGTTCCTTAGGGATTCCAAAATTGAAAATCTTCACAGGAACAGACAGCCCCATCTTTCTCCCATAGAGTAGCTGGCAGGTTTGAATCATCAACCTTGCAGTTATCAGCCAAATGTGTAACTCACTACACTACCAGGGAGGAGGGAGGAAATGCTTTCCTTCTGCCTCAGTCATCTTCTCACCAATACACTTCAGTGGTCTTTCATATCTACCCACATCCTTCTTAGCCCATACCCCAAGGAATGAGGCAGACCCTTACTCTCAGTCTAGATGACTGACTGATCTGTTTGCTTCTGGTATTCCCTCTTCACATATTGTAAAACTATCTCAAACCTAAGTCATAATTACAAATCATTTTCTTAAAAAATCAAAATACTCATAGGGAAACTAAAACAGTGAAATTCACCCCTAGTATGGCATGCAAATTTCATTGTGGTACAATGCTAACCCATATTCTGTGTCTTCTTATCTGCAGTATTTTCCATTCACATGTCAATTCATGCCTTTACTGGGCATGCTCTTAATTCTCATTAGCACTTACTGAACACTTACCCAGTCTCTCAATATACCACCTCCTCTGTAAATAACATCCTGAAGCTATCTATCTAACAGAACGCATCCTCTGAATGCTAATAAGCACACTTCTACTTACAAATAATTCTGTTTTGTGGTGATCATTTCCTTAAGAGTAAGAAGAACCTTATGAGTACTATTAGGCACTCAAATATCTGTGGAACTCGATCATGGAAAATTTTTATGTAGACAGGTAAGATCTCATCTCTGTTGCACTCCCAGGACAAACATGGAAAAAATGATACACTGACAGAAAAAGTTTTGTGAGAGCTTTAATGGCACAAAATGTTTGTAGCTACAAGTTATACATGTATTGTAAACTGTATATAATAATACAAAGTGCTAACTAAATAGATGAAGAATGCATAATCACTTTGGCTCAGTTATTCCCAATAATTTCAACAACTGCTTCACTGAAAATATCACCTCACTGGCTGAGTTTCCAATTTTCATTTTTTTAATGTATATATTTTTATTGCAATCAAGGTAACTTGTTGCATTTTTCAATGTGCAAGTTTATGCATTTTTCTCATGATTCTATTTACAAGTATTTTAAGCCAGTTTTCATCAAACATGAGAAAAATTAAGCCTGCCTTTTCATCTCCAATTGTAAACAAGTGTAAAGCTTTAAAGACATTAATCTTAACAAAATTTCAACTGTTAATTGTGGAATGCTCTGTTCCAATAATACAATCTGCTTCTGTTTAACGCAAATCTGGGTGGGAGATATAGACATTCATCCCATATGTTATAGCTACCAATAAATACTGCTTTATTTCATCTTACAATAAGTTCTACTGTGATTATGTATTCATTTTTTAAGATTTCATAATTTCACAGATACTTTATGAAAAAGGGCAGAACTAAATTTATTTTTAATGTGGAAAAAAATATATATATATACCCAAGTTCTAATCATACCACCAATAAAATCACTATGAAATTTGGAAAGGAGAAAATGTGATGCTGTAAAAAGCTGCTTTCACTTTAAGTCTAATTCCTTTCTTCCCCAGGATGCCAACTGTGTAGCCCAAAGGAAGGTGTGTATCTATTTACATTTAGTTTTCATAACTTCTGAGTTTTATTCAGCCTTCAGAACCAGAGGGCATCAGATTTACTTTCTTCCAAAAGAGATTCAAATATGAACACTTGAAATAAATTGGTTACAGAAGGCAAATCAAGTGTTACCAGGTTTAAGACTAAGAGAGAAATATGACAAAATTTTAAAAAATTCCAAAATTATCAAATGCTAGAAAGAAGAAAGCAAAAGGAGAAAAAGAGAATTCAGAAAATGATTTTGGGTATATCATCTTTTTAAAGATAAGCAGTTATATTTTTGAAGAGAGTAAAATTTGAGTTTTTAAAATTATTTTCTACTATAACACATCAATCTGCCAAACTTGATGCCAGAGAGAATAGTTTCTGCAAACTAGCAAATCTGGTCACCGTAGTGTTTTTACTCAAGTCAACCTGATGTACTTTATTTAATGAATAGACTGCTAGTTTAAAATTTACCAACGGTTCTCTTCAATATTCGATAGTAATGTCTATATCATAAACAGTAATTACTTAAATATATAAAACAAATAGTTATGTAGTATCCTTCAGCGTGCTGCTTGCTATCTGTTCTGAAATTCAATCAAATCTACTTGAAATAACTAGTCAGCCTGATGTTTTCTAACAATTTGGTCCTAAAGCTTCACATTTTAGGCAAAAAAGAAGAAAGTGTGTCATGGAAAGAAGTCTTTGAGCATTCTGAAATTTCAAGAGTTGAACCTAACTGAAAAGCTGACAACATGAGAAAATCATCAGTACCTGCAGAAGCACAGGAATCACTTTGGGAAGATTGTACAGTAAACAGTAAGAGTAAGAGATCAGAAGCAAAACAAACAAAAAAAGGCATCTTTACAGAACTTTTGTCAGCTGTTCCCATGACCCACGTCAGATTCTCAAAGTTGCGCAAGAGCTTGGAATAACTCTGAAACTATTATCCTTCAGAGTTTAAAGGCTTTAGTGTATAAGTGACGCTTCCTAAAACAAGAAGCCTATATTTACACCACAAATTGGAACTCATTCTAAAGCCTCTTCGAGAAAGAAAGGTTATGAAAAATTAGCATGCAGCTAAAACACATAAGCATACCAAACATACACAAAAATCCCAAAGCAATTTCATATATTTCTAGGCCTGAGACATTCCTTATCAGAAATAAAGATTCTCTATTATAGAAAAGACATTACAATTTGCTAGTATTAAAATCTGCTGATGTGTTTTAATTCTTATTCTATTCATATCTACTATTTGTATAGCCTGCCTCCTACAAATTAAAAGGAGCTATTAGGAGGCTTTGGACTAAAGGTGGCTTCAAAGCTGGTTTAAAATAATTTTTTTATTGCCCAGGATATTTTTTTTTCCTTGTGTCTTATTTATTTTTTGCTTGTTTGCTTTGTTTTCTTTTTTAATAGCTATAAATTCAAGTTTAGGGAAGCCTGCTTTTGTCTTGAGAAAAAACCCCAGAGAGCTTTATTATAATATGCTAACATGATCTCATCTGAAGAGAAGACAGGGATGGTAGTTATCTTGCTACAGTAAAATTTATACCATCAATAATGCAGGTGTAAATCTGGTGGTGGTTAAAAGGAGAAAACAGCATTGCTGACAAAATTATAACCTGCTGGTGGCATGTGCAGAAAAGAAGCCCTTGCAATTTCTAGACAACAGTAAACTCTGTTAGGAAAGTCTTAAAGTGTCTTATAGGCCAAAAAAGGAATGAGGTTAGTAAAACGCCTCAACAGAGTTAGAATAAAACACTGGATTTGGAGTTACTGGAACTTGGATATGTAGAAGTAGGGTGGTAGGTTGGGTCATGCTTACAATGGTCTCAAGTTCAAACAAACTAATGTGACAATAACACCACTTCACAGGTCACGCACATTTCCAGGGGCTTTTCTTTCCCTCAGTAGGTGCTGGCAGAAGATGTGCTCAGTCGTTTTCCAATATAGATGCTGAAAGGAAGCAGAGTGTATCATGTTTCTTTTGACTCAACAGTTCCACACCAGCTTGTCCACATGTTGACATGTACTTGAAAACTGAAGATCTCAGTCCTTTTATGATGCTCTAAAGGTATGTGCAGAGCTCCCTAACACCCAAAATTTTTACTGACTTACCTAAAGCCAGTCACCAGCCAGCCAAACTGGTTTTATATAATAATGTTTACTTGTTAAGACTATTAGCTACTGGACAGGACAGAGGCAGTGATTAAACAAAGTCAAATTAGAGAGAACAGATCCCTCCAGAGTACAACAAAGTCAACCTCCTCTGAGATGTTCACTTCTAGGAAAACAAAAAGTTCTGCTGATAACTCAGAAACAAAATGGCTAATGGTTGGTTTTAGTGCTCTATATAATCAAAAAAATGTTAAGGCTGCCAATGCTTTAAAAATGTTCTTACTGCTTTAATTCTTAAGGATTAAGGGCCAAATATTACTTTTACATAGCAAGTGCCAAGTATTATTACCCTTACAATAACTGAAGCATAAGAGAATTTAAGGAAAACAGGAAGTTAGATTCTTCTCCCAGTTTAATAAAGTGACCAACATTTTTAACCCTCTTTTCTGTGTTCATCTCTCACCACAGTTACATTTACTTCAGAAAAGAAAAAGAAAAACAGTCTAAAGATTCATAAAAGGAAAAGATACTGAAATTTACAAAAACCAAAAGCTTTTTGAAGGCATGTGAACTACTGTTCTGGCCACAACTGTGGAGGAATGTAAACTCTTACCTCTGCTCTACCCCAGCCCCAAAGCAAATTTACACACTCCCCTTCCTCTGAAAACACCTTCCATTGTAGAGTGTCTGATTATTGTCCTTGCAGATCAAGTATCAAGAAAGACAGAGTGTATCTGATATGATAAGCTTCTTAAAGGGAAGGTAAAAGAAGATGTATCTTTACCATATTATATATAGAAAATGACCATAGGGCATGATTGAATAGTATTACAGACACATCTTGAAAAAAATTAAGTTACATTTTAACTCCTAGAATCTTTCAAAAACAAATGTTTTCATTATTTCATATCAAAATTAAATAAAACATATTAAAAAGACTGCCTGAAAAAAATACTGAGCTATAAGTAAACATAAAGTCAATTTTCGAATAAAAAAAACATTACAAAGTTAAGAGAATAAAAAAGTAAGAGTCATAATTGACCTACCAATTCACTCAAGGGCTATTCAAAGTAATGGTGGGGAGAAAAAAATGTGTCAACCCCCCAAATTTACACACTATACATTAGTTTACTTTAAAATGTAGTTAATCTTAAACAACTACAAATAAAAACAACAAAATAGAAAACTCAAAAGAGAAAAGTAAATAACTAAGCATAGAAGAGTTTACTTAACATTGAGCATTTAGGAAATATGAATATTTCATATCTAAAAATGCTTACTGGTAGGCCAATAGTACATCAAATTTAATAATTCTTATAATTTCACTCTATCTGCACTAAAACATTGAGGGCAAAGTAACACAAACTGCTTTTACACATACTTGCTACATCTACAGATAAAATATGAAAATAAAAATGATCGGAAAAACTTTTGGAGTTTACCAGTACTTACCCTAGCCCCAAAGCCAAAACATGAGAAATGAAGAGAGACGGAATGAACACTTTAAGAAATTCTGCGGAGAAAATACCCCCTTTCTTCATGGCTCCACTTTTTCTCATGCTTAAAGAAACCGAACGTTTAGGATGCCTAAAGTGGAACTCCCTGGAGAAGGAAATTCAGAGGCAGGTGTCAGAAATGCATTTGGAATTACCAGGTCCAATGTTATGGAAGAGGGTGAGATAGGTCTTTTAAGTGCCCACTAAAAAGAAACATGTAGCGAACTTACTTAGGTGGAATGTTTTCAGGTCGACTGGACCAATCAGATACCCACTCTACACTTTTCTTTAAAGCATCAACTTCTTTCTCTCCTTCTGTAGCTTCTTCTTCTGACTGTAAAGAAGAATTTGAACTTTTAATTAAAAAATGGAGACCAGCTTCTCCTAATACAAAGACAAAGCTGGACAGAAACAGACCCAATAACAAAAGATTGTGCACCATTAATTTTTATGTAAGATATATGCTGTTTTTCTAAAAAATTAACCTAAGATCTAAGTGTCTTAAAAGAAACTCATGTGAACATCACTATGCTTTGGCACAGTATATGAACCTAAAGGGGGGGGAAAAAAGCTTATTTAGGGATATAATACTAACAAAGGTGTGGCAAGATCAATTTGACCACAAGGTTGGCAGTTCAAGCTCACCAGCTGCTCCTCAGAAACCCTTTACAGGGTCACTATGAGTTGGAACTGACTCAATGGCACCTAACAACAACAACAAAGGTGTGGCAAAATCCTGATAAATGCCTAATCTAGGTGACGCTTATATGGAGGTCCAGTGGATTAATCTCTTTACTTATGCATTTGAAATTTTTCATAATTAAAACAGAAATAAAAGGAAACATACAAATTATATGCTAACAAAAATTAAGCGATATGTAACACACAAAAATAGATGTGATGATACAGTGTTGTTGTTAAGTGCTGTAGAGTTGGTTCCGATTCATAGCGACCCTTTATAGAGTTTTCAAGGAGCAACTAGTGGGTCTGAACTTCTGACCCTGTGGTTTGAAGTCCAGTACTTATCGTATAACACTACACCAAGAAGCCATGATGATATAATAAATACGCAAAATAACACTACTGAACATGTTTCCAAAGACAAGCATTGTTCTAAGCACTTTACATGCATTGTCTTTGACCCCTTTCACTACCCTGATAAATAAGGACTATTAATACTCCACTTTACAGAGGAATATTAAGTAACTTGTCTAGGGTTCATAACTAGCAAAGAGCAGGGCTGGCATTCAAACCCAGGAAACTGTCTACAGAGCCACTATTCTTAAGCACTAGGCTTTACTCCCTTGGAAAGACATATTTTTTTAATGCCCACACATTGTCCAAGATCTACTCAAAACTAAGAAGGTGTAGTGCTGTGGGGTAAGCACTGGACTGCTAAACACAAGGCTGGTGGTTCAAATCCACAAGCCGCTCCTTCGAAACCTATACAGGGTCACTCTGAGTCACAACTGACTTGACAGCACTTAACAAAAACATGTAAGCCAAAAGTATTTTGGAATTTATTTGATATTTGAGTCAGAATTTGGCACCTATTGTGTTAAATAAATTTTCAAAAATCGTTTTTCATTTTGTTTTGTTGCTAATTGGAATCCTGGTGCGGTGCAACAGGATAAGCACTGGACTGTTAAACTGCAAGGTTGGAAGTTCAAACTCATCAACCACTTCTTGGAAACCCTATACAGGTCACTATGAGTCAGAACTAACTCAGTGGCTCTTAACAATAACAGTAATCTAAAGTTACAGAATTAAGGAGCTCTGGTAGCATAGTGGTTACGAGTCAGGCTGCTAACCGCAACATCAGCAGTTCGAAACTACCAGCCATTCCACGGGAGAAAGATGAGGCTTTCTGCTCCCATAAAGATTTATAGCCTCAGAAACCCTATCCAGGGTCGCTATGAGTTGGAACTAACTCCACGGCACACTACCATCACTACCACCACCAAAGTTACAGATTTAGGCAAAAAATAATCAAACTTTCTAATAACTTCTGTTGCAATAGAATAAACAGGAGTGAAAAATTCCTAAAAATGATACAGCATGATTCATTTTAAAGAACGCCATGTTATGATCCCAATTAAAGGGTCTCAAAGCCATAAATTGATTTGTTATTTTGTTTGAAAATATTTCACTTTGACCAAAGCTTTCAATCATTAGAATAGATAGTAGAGAAATATAGGGCTTGACAAATGCAAGTGACTCTTTTTTGACAAGTCTAGTTTTCTGTGGAGAGAGTCCTGGTGGTTAAACACTCAGCTGTTAACTAAATGGTCAGAGGCTGGAACATACTAGCCACTCTGAAGAAGAAAGATGAAGCAATCTACTCCCATAAACATTCACAGCCTTGGGAACCCTACAGGGCAGTTCTAGTCTGTTCTACAGAGTTACTATGAATTGGAGTTGACTCAATGGCAGTGAGTTGAGTTCTCTGTGAAATTGATAGAAAGTAGCTTCAGACAGCCCCTACATATAGACAGTCCCTTTTACAGTCAAATCCAAAATAAAATCCTCATATATTTTTGCTATCCTGGCAGTTACAGAATTCTGTGAAACTTGGCAAATGCCACAGAATTACACAATGCAGCATTTAGAATGAGGCTTTTTCCATTGGGTATTGAGATTACTCAGAACCATGAGTTGGCTCTTTGGAGTAACACTGAAAACATTAAAATCCAAGGTAACAATTTACTTTCAGATCTGTTTGTGTGCACACAATATGAAATTATATTCAACACACTGCATGTCTGTGTACAGTGTCTGTCTTTGGTTTTAAAACGAGCCAAAGATTTAACTTTTTGAACAAAGTAGTATTTAATACTTTCTAACAGAATGAAAATGTAATAAGGTATTTTTTCAAGATGATATACTTTTTCTCAGCTGAATGAAGCAAACTTATCTGAGGAATAATATTAAAAAAATTTTTTTTAAATACTCAGAGAAGCCTAGAATGCTGACCTTAAGAATAAGCAAGCTTTCCTCATTTACCTTCCTTGTAGACATGGGTTACTATGAGTTGAAATTGACTGACTGCCAACTTACAACTTCATTTTATGAATCTTTTATCTGCCACTTTCAGGTGGCCTTCCAATTCTTAGAATTCCAGAGTATTATAAAAATGCATTTAATTTAACCAATTTTACAAAGGCTTCAAAAAATGTGGAAAAATTACATTATCGTTTAATTTCATTTTCCATGAACTTTTTGAAGCTCCCTTATATAAGAGTCGTACTTACACTTTCTGGAAGTCTAAAAAGATTATTGTTGCTGTTATTTTAGGTGCTGTCATTACAAGTTCCAACTTACAGTGCCCCTAAATACAGCAGAATGAACCACTGTCTGGTTCTGCCCCATCCTCACAATCACTGCTATACCTGAGCCCACTGTGGCAGCCACTGGAGCAATCTACTTTGTGAGGCTCTTCCTATTTTTCACAGATCCTCCACTTTACACCAAGCAGGATGTCCTTCTCCAAGGACTGGTAACATGTTCAAAGTATGTGAAATAAGGTTTCCGCTATCCTCATACGAAAAAAAACAACAAAAGACACACCTAGTCAAGCAGATCTTATGTTTTTCACACAGGTGTCACAGTGCTTTTCCAAAATTAGCCTTGTTTAAATGGACTGATGACTGATAGTATAGTTTACCCCTAATTAATAATAACAAGTTTTCTTTTAGTTAGTTCTTTCTGAACAGGGATCACACAGGCAATGTTACCAGAATCTGACAGAAAAAGTCAGAAGTCTTATACTTTTCCTCCTGAATTTCATGAATTCCTTTGAAATTCTAGCGTGGTTGCAGTCAGCTCTAGAATTCAATTTAAATTCAATGATCTGTTAAGTATAATTGTACACTTGCCACTCCATGAGTCAGGACTATACTTATTACAGAACTTCATTAAGTCATTAGGTAAATTATTAGGGGGGACGTAGGAGGAGTCTAAGGTCAAATTATCTTGGGAAACATTTTGGTTAATTTAACATTTGTTTACTGCAAGACTTTTCAGGGCCTTTAAGATCAGTGATGAATCCTGGGGGTGGCACAGGACTGAACAGTGTTTCACTCCATTGTGCACGGGGCTACCATGAGTTGGGGCTGACTCTTCAGCAGCTAACAGTAAAACAAAAAAGGTACTATGCTCTTTAACTGTTAAGGCAAGAGGGTTGAGGAGCTGCATAACTTATTTAACTTCAAAACTGTTATGAAGCTGAGTAAATGTCCCTCAGGACACATTCTGTGACCTTGAATAAGACAACACAAGATCTCATTTTTCCTATTTGCAAATGCAAGAACCTAAATGGAATGTTGGAATGATACAATATATACAATAATTTCTGATTCTTAAAGAGAAACAGAGCAAAAAAAAATTCTTAATAGAGAACTAACACAACCAGGATTAAATAAATTCCAAAGTGAAAAAAAGGAGTAATTTAAAATCATTTCAAACTATTTTTAAGTCTTATTCCTTAATATATTCAGCAAAACATATTTTTAAAAAGGCATTTTGCTTATTCCCTATTTCTTGATTGTAAATCAGAAAAATAAAAACACACCTGAGAGCTATGATCCCTGCTGGTATGCATTTCTACATCAAACATAATCTGTCCATCTTCTTGTGGGGAAGGGCTATAGGAGAAAGAATTTAGCCATTAGTGTCAATTCATATTTTATCAAATAATTAGCCTCTACTGGAAATTAGAATATCAATTACAGCAGTATGACTTCAAAAAGCAGCAACTCAGAAAGATCTGTACATAACGACATTCAAGAGAATCAGCATTCTGATATGGAGAGCTCTTATTCTCAAAATCATTTGAAATTATGTTGTTAAGAGCCATTGAGTCAGTTATGACTCATAGAGACCCTGTCTAGGCTTTCCAAAGATCAGCTGGTGGGTTTGAACTGTTGACCTTATACTTAGCCATCCACTGATTATCCTACAGCACCACTTCAGGACTCCTTGAAATCATGTAGTAGTGATGAATTCCTTCATGATGATAAATTTTTAAAGGAAATATTCACTGAAAACAGTAGACTGTCACATTTTATGTTTATTCTTTTCCAATAAAGGTAAAACCATGTTCAAATTCAGTAACCTAATTTGGGGTTCTTTCTCTCACAGGAGCCCTAGTGGCACCATGGACTAACCACAGGGTAACAGTTCAAGCCCACCAACTGTTTGCAGAATTGTCTGCTCCCATAAAGAACTGACTCGATGGCACTGGGTTTTGGGGTTTGATTTTCTCCAAGTTCTTCCATGATTATTAAATAATATAACACCAGCAGTTCTCAAAGATTCTTTCATAGGATCTTCAAGATTACTGGCATGTTATTTGCCGTTTTCATTCTCATCTTCTTATGACTGTGTAAGAGTTTTCAAAGTCTATAGGATGTGTGATTTCACAACAGATTGAATGCAAAAAACAGATGAGATTTCAGCTGTTTTCTATTAAGCCAAACATTAAAGGGATTTGCAAAAATGTCCCACAGTGCTGCAATTCTTACCAATTGTTTTATTTTCTAAAATAGTTATTTTTCATTGAATATAACAATTAAAACACAATGGGCTATTATTTTAAATTAATAAGTATATATTGTAAAATGTTTTATGCTAACTTCTAATACCTTATATATTATTGTTGTTAAGAGCCATTGAGTTGGTTCTGACTCATAGCGACCCTGCATAGGGTTTCCAAAGAGTGGCTGGTGAGCTTGAACCGCCGAAACTGAGGTTCAAACTAACTTTGCAGTCCAACACATTATCCTGCAGTGCCACACCAGGACTCCAATATGGTATGTGTCATTAGATACAGAACTCGCACAAACAAAAACTCTGTGGGGTCCTTAATAAATGTTTAAGAGTCTACAGGGGTACTGAGAGCAGAGTTTGAGACCCACTTATCATGGGTTTGTTTTTAGATATTTCAGAGCAAATTATATGAGGCTAAAAAATTATTACTATAAAATCACCGAAATCTTTATTAAGCAAAAACAGTAAAATGTGGTATCTTCCACCTAGGTCTATACATATTTCTGAAGGCAGTGTTTCTATCTCTTTAACCCTTCCCCCAAAGAATTTTGTGTTCTTTGGTTTGTTGTTAAGTACCATTGAGTCAGTTCTGACTCATAGGAACCTTTATAAGGTTTCCAAGGAGTGGTTGTTGGGTTTGAACCATCAACTTTGCAGTTGGCAGTCCAGTGCTTATGCAACAGTGCCACACCAAGGCTCTACTCTTTGATCTGCATGTCAAAATGGCAGTTCAAATCATGTTCCTCTTAAATGTTCTTTGTGTTTGGAGAACAAAAATAGGTCTGAAGGACTGTAGGGTGGACAGAGTAAAGTTTCCCATTAAAATTCTCAAAGGACAACCTTTGCTACAAAAAATACCAGGTGAATTATGATATAAAAAAAACTCCTCAATATAACTTCTCTGGTCTTCGTCGCACCAAACTTCCTCCTAATAAGTCCCGTGATCATCCTATGTCCTCTGAGAAAATGTATTAAGATTATGCCTTTTCGAGTCAAAAAACAAACAAACAAAAAAAAAACAGTCCCCATAATCTTCTGAGCTGAGCTGACACTGAATTTAACTGGCCCAGCAGACCCCTTCAGAAGCCACTATTATAATTGGACCTTGCCCTCTGGATCATAAGATACTGCCTTCATTAACTTTGATCTTCCTTAAAGTACTGTTGGAAAGATCAGCTCTTTGAGGTACCTGGTCTTCGAGCAACACTATTTTTAGTATCCTTACATATATAATTTTTATTGTGAATTGGGTGAACGTTTACAGAGCAGATCTGTCTTCTATTAAATAAGTCATATACATTTTGTTTCATCTTATTTGCCTGTAATGCCCTACTTCCTGTGCTTCCCATTTCCATTCCTCTGAAGTGTAGACTTGGAAAAATGCTGCCTGTTTGATCTCAAATGGTTGATTATTCTAAAGTGTGCATACTTCCCTAGGATTACTATTCCCCTTATAGACCTATCTATTGTTTGGCTTAAAATTGAGCTGTGGGAGTAAATTCAGTCCCAGACCCAATATGCGACTAAGAGCCATCATCTCAGGGGTTCCACCAGTCTCTATCTGTCCAGTAAGCCTGGTCGTTTTTATGATTTTTGTTCTACATTTTTATCCTACTCTATCCATGACCTTCTAATATGACCCCCTTCAGAGTATCTGGTAGTGGTAGCTGGGAACCGTGTCATTTTTCTGGTCTCAGGGTCATGGAAGCTGATGTTTGCATGGTCCATTAGTCCACTGGCTTACTGTTTCCATACAGCTTCATCTGTCTTCACCCTTCTTTCATTCAGACAAATAGAGACCAATAGTAGCACCTTACGAGTTTTTAAGATCCTAGTTGCCACTCACCCAATAGGATGTAGAACATTGTCTGTATGGACTATGTTCTACCAACTGACACTAGTGTCCTGTAAGACTATGTATGGGCCTCAGTTCCAGACCCTGTAAATCATTCCTTTAAAGTGTTTGGCTATATATATGTATATATATTTGTAAAGATACCATGATAAGCACTGGACTGCAAAGCACAAAGTCTACAGTTCAAGCTCATCAGCTGCTTCAAGGGAGAAAGATGAGGCTTCAGCTCCCATGAAGATTTAAAGCCTCAGAAACCCTATACAGGGTCTCTATGAATGACTCAATGGCACTTAAGAACAAGACTACGTATATTACTGAGAGACCCTGTCTGCAATCATTCACTGGCCAGAGAGAAATGTTTAAACAGGTTGTATTTGGAATAAATCTGTACATGTATGAACTGGAACTCTAGTAGTAATGTTTTACATACCCTCGTATATAAGCTTATATATGAAATTACAGATTCTATATATGAAATATAACATTTAATGAAAAACGCACAGTAAACTCACAGAATCTATTTATAGTTAAATTTTTAAACAAAAACACATAATCATACACCTTATGTGGTATAATATAGATGAATTAAATGTGCTCAGTTATCTTAACCTTATTAAAGATCCGTTGGATATCCACAGTAAATCACTGGGCCTTTCACTATACCCCCCCAATCTCTCTCCATTCAATGTTGTAATGTTGTCCAGTCCACTCTGACTCATAGCAACACTGTAGGACAGAGAATTGCCCCATGGGATTTCCAAGGCTGTAAATTCTTTAAAAATTTTTTTACTGTGAATTGAGTGAAGGTTTGCGGAGTAGATCATCAGTTTTACATTCAACAAATCATATGCTTTGCTTCATTACAATGACTGAAATCCACTCCATGTACAACCTGTTAACAGTATTTACCTCTAGTCACTTTAACTCTTGCAATCCTGTGTCTACATTCATCTTCCCTCTGCCAATCTCCCTCTTGGTGTATACTGCCTGCCATGTCACCCCTGTTAACATGTGTCTACCCTCTAGCTCAAGAATAATTTTCTCTTCCCCCATCCAGGTAAATATCACAGAACATTTCTTTTAGCATAATAAACTTTTCTAAACTCTTTACAACAGTGGTCTCAGATAATATTTGTCCTTTTGTGACTAATTTCACTCAGCATAATGTCCTCCAGGTTCATCCATCTGCGTGTTTGTAGATTCATCTTTATTCATCAGTGTTGTCTAGTATTCCATTGTGTGTTTAACCATTCTGTTGATGGGCATTTAGACTATCTCCCTATTTTTGCTATGGTGAATAGTGCTGCAATGAACATGGTTGTGCATGTGTATCTAGTCATGTCACGGTTCTTATTTCTTGAGGATATATACCAAGCAGAGGAATTGCTGGGTCACACAGTATTTCTATTTTCAAGCTTCTGAGAAAGCGCCATACCATGTTCTGCAGTGGTTACACCATTTTATACTCGCACCAGCAGTGTAGGAGGGTTCAGTCTTTCCACATCCCCACCAGCATTTCTTGTTTTATTTTTTCTAACTTTGCTATTAATGCTGGAGTAAGATGATATCTCATTGTTGTTTTGCTTTGCATCTCTCTAATGGCCACCACTTGTTAGTCATACTGTAGTGGCTTATGTGTTGGAAGCTATATCACCAGTATTTTAAAAACCAGCAAGGTCACCCATGGTGCATAGGTTTTAGTTGAGTTTCCAGATTAAGACAGGCTAGGAAGAAGGAAAGGTAGACTACTTCTCAAAGTTTAGCCACTAAAAACTTTATGACTAGCAGTGAAACATTGTTAGATATAATGCCAGAAGTTGAAAACATTATGAGTATCACCAGAATATTGTCAGATATAGTGCCAGATGATGAGCTCCTTAGGTCGGAAGGCACTCAAAATACGACTGGGGAAGAGCTGCCTCCTTAAACTAGAGTTGACCATGATATCTGAATGGAGTAAAGCTTTTAGGACCTGTAAATATTCATTAATAATCAGAACATGGAATGTATGAAGTATGAATCTAAGAAATTTGGAAGTTGTCAAAAATAAAATGGAATGCATAAATATCAATATGCTAGGAATTAGTGAACTGAAATGGACTGGCAATATCCATTTTGAATCAGACAATTATATGGTTTACTAGGCTGGGAATGATAAATTCAAATGAAATGGCATCAAATTTATCAGCAAAAAGAGTATGTCAAAATCTAATCTTTAAGTACAATGCTGCCTGTGATACG